AGCGGTAGGAGGGTTGTTTGTGGGCTCGTGGTGGTGTCTGTGGGCCCGGCTTCCACTGCTGTCCTCCCAGCTGCAGCATGTCCCAGGCTGAAGCAGGGTGAGGTCAGTGCTGTGACTGGGGCAGTAGTGGCAGGGTATGATGTCACTGTTGTGGTGCTGAATCGCTTCTTTGCCACGGGACATGGCTGCGAGTTGCCCTGTTGGGGCTGGAGGGAGCCTGAAGAAATGCCTGCACCACACCTCCTGGCCGAGCTTTGGTTGGGAGTCCCTCAGGGCCTGGTCCTGCGGCTCCTTCCAGCTGCACCCATGCATCGCTGCTCCTGTGGCTTGTTTCCCCTCATCCCATGTGCTGGTTACATCTGGGCTGATGAGCTGTGGAGTCACGGTGTGGGGGGAGCTGGTATCTCCCAGCAGCGTGCTCTGTAGGAGTGTGGCAGCTTGGAGAAGATCTGTCCTTTCATCTGAGCAGCAGTGATTGGAAGTTAGGGGTTATGTCACTTGTTTATTTTTTTAATTCACTCTTTTGAACAAGGTCAAAGTTTGTGGTTGGCATTTGCATGGGGGTCTGTTTTTTAGAGTGGAGCAGGTTCAGGTTATTTGTCAAGACCCTCAAGAGTCTATGGGAAGAAAAGGAAGGAAAACTAAACATGGGATCATCTTTCAGAGGTCATTGTGGAGGGCAGATTAGTTAAAGCTTGACAATTACTTAAGTCTCTGATGTCACAGGTGCTTACCAGCTGCCTTTGTGGTGTCTTCCTGGGACTAAAAACCTACTTGTGAGGCTCTGTGCACCAAGTCGCAGGTCTCTCAGATCTGGTTCCACCTGCCTAGGAATCACCTGGGATCTTGTGCCTTAAACAAACTCACCAGTCTGGTGGAGGCTGGGTGAGTAGAGTGAGGTCATCTTAATTCTCAGGAATTCAACCAGAAAGCCTTCATTTCTTTAAAAAAAGTAGCATATCAAACTACCCGGTGTGTATCTTAAAGGTAGAAGGCATGTTGGATCTTAGCAGGAGTTGTGCAAACGTTGCATTCATTTTGCTGAACGCTTCATTGCCAGCTGCAAAGCACAGCTACCCCCAGCACTGCACCTCCCAGTAAACATCTCTTATCCATCCTGTCAAATTAAATGAAGCTAAATTATTGTGGTTCATCGAACCGTGCAGGGGAACGTGTGCTGTGATACCTATTTTGAGTGCTTGGCTAAATCTTTTTTTTTTTTTTTTCCCTTGACTTCACAGTTTACCTTCAGGGTTGGTGGATATTGATGCTCGTTAGGAGACAGCAGTATCTCAGTGTACTCCTGCTGGGCAGATGAGGTGCTCTGGATCGGCATTGGCTGTGGAGCTGGTGAAGCTTGCAAGCAGGAGTCATGGTGAGGATGCGCAAAGGTGGTTGCAGAGTCAGTGCTTTAGTATGTTACGCTACTGAATAAGGTAGCTGAGACTTCCAGAAATATCTGAGAGCGCCATCGTTTCTCTTAGCGTCACCTGGAGGCTGGGTGTGGATGTCTCCACCATCCTCGGTCACTCGGCTTGTAAGGATGTATTTTGCTGTAGGCGATGGAAGTGACTGGCAGCTGGGTCTGAGCCAGCTCGGGTTGTGAACCAGCTGGCTCCAAACGCGAGCTGTTGCGCTGTGGAGCCTAACAGAGGATTGTTCTCCTTATTGGGGTGACTCAGAGGTGCACTGGTGGTTCTCCATGCTGCCATAAGGTGGGTGCTTTGGCTGAATGGGAAGGGGCACCTGCTTTTCTGGTCTATCAGGAAGCTTTGGGAAAGGGGTGGTACTGAAGGTGGAGGCTCTCCCAGCAAACTCAGGCTGCCAAACTTCAGGAGCTGAAGCAGCTCAGCATTTTGCTTGTGGCCATTCCTTTTCACACTCAGACAAAACCCTGTCTATGCAGAGACCTTACACTTAGGATGAGTTGCCTTTGAGTGTGTTGGAAGTGTGGGAAGATAGCGATCTGCCTGCCTGAAGCTCGGTTGTTAATAATAAAGCATTTAAGACTGCAATTTGCATTTCAGCAGCATCTTTAATTCATGGCTCTCCAAAGGCTTTATAGACATTGGCTACCATAGCCTCACAACAGCCCTGTGAGGTAGGTGGATGTGATCATCCCCACCGCCATGGGGACAGTAAGGGCACCAAGGATAAGGGGCTCGGAGCAGTCGTGCTGGGATTTGACCTAGCACTTCAAGAGTTTGATTTAAGTCCCATTAGGCCTTCAGCTTCAGATCATGCTTTCCTAATGCGCGGGTTTGACTCTGTGTGGGTCTATACTGATTAACGAGCCTGTGACTGGCTGGCACAGACTATAAAGGCTGTTAATCTAAGGCAGCAGTTTATTAGTGAGGAAGATGGTTCCTTGGTGCTTCTTGCTGCTGGAATAATCCAAGGGTTTGAAGGCATATAAAAATTATGTATCAACCATTGAGGCTGTAACTGGAGAAAGCCCTTAGACCCCCAGGTGGGGAAGCTATGTGGGATGCTACTGTAAATGTATTGATCAGAAAGGACATAATAATTTATATATAAAGTCCACCCTTGCTCTTTCCCCAAAGCAAAAAAAAAAAAAAAGAAAAGAACCTAGAAAGTCACTGCTGGTTGTCACGTGTCAGCTTCAAGCGCCGGGCCCTTGGCTTCATAGCACCTGCAAAAGGAACAAAACGTGGGGCATCAGCAGCCTGTTGGGGCTGGTGAAAGAATTAAGCAACGTGTTCCCTCAAACCCAGTCCCATTTTAGCTTTAAAACAACTTAAAATGATGTGCATTACTTGTGTGAGTAATTGAGTACTGATGGGAAAA